AGCTATCTTTCAGTCTCCTAGTTGGGAAGTGGTGGGGCCAAAATTCAAATCTAGCCAGTGCCCTTATTACTTATGACCCTCCAGAGACTACCACACCTTTCCTCTGGAGCCCATGTTCCTCTGCTACACTACCTGTCCCCCATTGAAGTGAATTCCTAGGGAAGCAAGGGGAACAGGAGCTTTGTGGGGAAGGTGGGAGGCAGAAGAAGCAAAGGGAACAGGAGCTTTGTGGGGAAGGTGGGAGGCAGAGGCAGTGGCCTTGTGAAGGATGACCTCCCCAGGGAGCACGCCTACTTTTCCATGGCCCCTTCCCTTCCTCCTCTTTAGACCCCAGAGCTTCCCAGAAGTTCCACGTTCTTTGTCAGGGAGCTCACTTGGCAGTGACGATGAGATGGGTGCAGCTTTTCCTGGGTCATTGGCTCTCCACTAAGGACTCACTTGATTTGTGTTTCCTCCATTTCTGCACTGTTAAATCAACAGTCACGGGTGGTTGCAGAAGCTTCTTGCCAGAAAACATTACAAAACTCTTCCAAAGAATGAGCCTGTGCATTTGATGGGGGATTGGGGCCTCTGAGGTCCCCAGTGATTCCAGGGTTCTGTGAACATCTCCATCTGGTGCCTTGGTCCAGCTGTCTCAGCAGGAGAATGGGAAAAATGTCCAGAGAGGCTGAGCCATCACCAGAGAAACCTGGCCAGAGTTGTAAAGGCTCACAATGGAAACAAGCCTAACGGGACATTGGAAAGGGAAAGCTGACGACGGAAATCACCAATGTCAAAGAGTTCCTATGGAGGAGCGGAGAGGTAATGGGGAGTCTCAGTGAGTAGAGCCAAAGCAAGTGCCCAGAGACTGTCCTCATGAGGTTCCAGAAGACTGAGCTCTGGATGTGTTCGGGGAAGCCCGAAGGTCTGAATTTGTCTCATCATTGGAAATTCCAATAGGAAGAGACTGATGAATGTACTCTGGAGACCAAGGCCTTGTTATTCCTCCTACTAGAACTCTCCTGGGTGCCAGTGAAAGAGTTGGGGATGGCCTGCCTGGCAACAGGTGTATGGGAGGGGACACCTCAGAGAACACATTCCAAGAGGGGCCACTGTTGCCTGATTCTACAACTTTCTCTACCAGCAGTCACCTTTATCCCAGGGATCCCAAGGTTTAAGTGACATTACAGCCAAGTCACACAGCACACTGTAAGAACCCAGCACCATATTCACACAGAGCCAGAGGACTTAGCTGTGAGAGGAACCCAGGAGTTATCTGGTCCAAATCTCTCCTTTTCAGTTGGGAAACTGAGGCTGGGGTGGGGGTGGGGGGAGGAGAATGACTAACTGTTGGAGGCAGATTAATTGGTGGGAATGCCAGGATTTGTGCCAGATCTCCTGAGCACCAGACCCATGCTCTCCTGTATGCCACCTACTAGTGGTGGCTGGCTGAGACAGAAAAGGCTGATTTCGGTGCATTCTGTTCTAAGCTTGTCACAAGTCTTGGGCGGAGAGCATGGCAGAGGGGAAGGGGCTCTGGGTAGGGAACAAGCCGTCCTGGCTTCAGGTCCTGGGGCTGTCTCTGACCTGCTGGGTGACTGTATCAGTTTCCTGGGGCTGCCATGGCAGATTTCGACAAACAGAGTGGCTTGAAACAACAGAAGTTTATTCTCTCCCAGTTCTGGAGGCCGGGAGTCCAAAACTCAGGTGTCGGCAGGGCTGGTTCCCTCTGGAGGCTCTGAGGGAGAATCCATCCCATGCTTCTCTCCTAGCTCCTGGTGGCTGCCGGCTATCCTTGGCATTCTCTCTCTCGTGGTGGCATCACTCCAGTTTCTGCCTGTGCCGTCACATGACCACCTTCATGTGGCAAACCTCCCTTTGCCTTTCTCTTATTAAGGACCCTCGCCATTGCATTTAGGGTTTACCCAGGTAGTCCAGGATGACCTCATCTCAAGATTCCTAAATTAATTATATCTGCAAAGATGCTTTTCCCAAATAAGGTCATGTTCACAGGTTCCAAGGGTTAGGACACTGACCTATCTTTTTAGGGGCCACTATTCAACCCACTACAAGGATCTTGGGTATGACCCTTCCCATTTCTGCTGCTTAGCTTCCCTAATATGGATGGCAAGAGCTCACTGACTTGCTTCTACAAGTGTCTGCTTATCTTCATGGACACCGATGGACCCCAAAATATACACCTCAGCTCAGCAGCCTGTGCCAGACTGAGCACAGTCCCCAGCAGTCATGTATAACACAAATTCAAATTCAAGAACTATTTCCCACCTCTCTAGACCTTCCTTTGACCATATATTCTTGGAGATGAGTAGGGGAACTTGGCTGTGGTCAGACCACAAATAAGAATGCTTTATTCAACCGTGGGCCCCACACCCCAGGGAGAGAGCATTCAACAAGAACAAGCACAGAGGATGGGCTGAGTGGGGAAGGAGTTTGATAAACACAACCTGTTCAGGGCCAGGACTGGGGGGAAGACGAGCAAGGTGTGAAAACGAAGAGGGAGCCAAATACCTCATTAATCAAGAGAAATGACATTTTAAGGCAGTATTTTTAAAAATCAAAACGAATGCAAAAAAAAAAAAAATCCATGATGAACAAAACATCAACATTTTAAATAAAGACAAGATCCAGTCTTGCAATTGTGTGACTTAAATCACTTAGTTCTCCCTAATCCCAGTCCTGTGAATCTTACCTTTGTTTAAAATGTTGACGTTTTGTTCATCATGGATTTTTTGTGTGTGTGTTAATTTTGAGTTTTTAAAAAAAATATTGCATTACAATACTTTTCATCTTGATTACTGAGGTTTTTAGCATCGCCTTAAATTTTGCCCTTAGGTTCTGCACTAGGCATGTGAATTACAACTGGAGGGACTGGGGCTGTTTAATTTGGACAAGGATTGTCGCTGGGGAGATGGTCACCATCCATAGGACCTGTGTGGGCCCTGAGGGACCAGTGGGGGAAATTCAGGGAGAAGTAGTGAGTCCTCTGCTACTAGAAGGATCTGAGAATCTGATGGGAGGTTGGTCTAGATAATCTGTAGGAGAGCCCTAAAACTCTGATTTCAAGAGGCAGATGCCTCAGATTTTCTTGCATAACTTCAATCATCTTGTAACCTCAGGATAATGTAAGAAATGGTGTCTCTTGCTTCAAACACTTCAGAGGCAGGGGCTGAGTGTCCTGGAATTTTGGAAGCTGCTCCATGCCGGGAGCCTGGCACTGTTCCATCCTGGGAGGCCAATGAGTAGGTCACCCACACTGTGGGGTGAAGTGAACAACCCCAGGAATACCCACAAAGTGTTCCATTCCCAGGCACAGAGTTATGGGTGTGAGGTCAGCCTCAGCACCAGTCCTAAATAAAAACCATTAAAATGAAGAAAATTAAAATGCAGGTCAGTGACCTGGGAGATGTTATAAAGTCAGAGCACTACCTCTAAAAGATACTGCAAAAAATGAACTTCCTAAAACACATTCCCGTGTACTGCTCATATCCGTGCACTGCTCACCCACCCAGTAACATCCATGCTCCTTGGAACGACATTCAAGGCCCTTCTCATGGTGTCTTACGACCCTTACGCTCACAGATTTTGTGTGTAATCATTTCTGTCTTTGGTCTCCTAAAGTCCTCCGTTCAGTTATGCTGTCTGCGGGTGTGGAATTTTTTTTCTTAGTTTTTGTATTTTCCTCAAATTTTATATTATTTTGAGATTAGAGTCCAGGGTGTCCCTGGACTCAAATTTCTGCTAATAAACTACAAACTTTGACGTCTTTAAAAATAATACTTACTGAAATAAAATGAGTTCTTTCTGCACATTATTCAGCATCTCAGAAAACTTTCTGTATGCTCATTGATTTTTGCATGAAAATATTTCTTCCAACATTTTCTAGCCAGAGTGTTTTTCCAGCATCCCTCAGGTGCCAGCATGATCTAAAGAGTTGTTTACAAAATGTGTCCTCATGATTTGCCATTTTTTTTGAGAAATCAATAAATCATTCTTATAGAGCTGGCTCTGATAGAGATTAAATAATAGCTAAAAAATTATATACAAAAATTTTATATAGCTTTGCCATGAAGTTTAATTCCTTCGGTGGAACTGGGGTCGGGTGGAGAAAGGAACCATCTGAGCTCAGAGAAGACAGAAGGGAATTGTGTGCACCGCTCTCCTCGATACTGGCTGGCGGTTAGGACTACGAGATAGAACCGTCTTCGTTCACCAGGGCCGCCATCCCCTGATTCTTGATAACATTTACACTGACAGGTAACGGTGTACTTCTGAAATACTTTTACGTATGTCACATTACCTGGCCCTCTTGCAGCTCTCCGGGATAAGCGGGGTGGGGGGGTAAGGGGGGTGGCAGGGGTTAGTAACGCCCATGGGAACATGTGGAGTGCCCTGTCCAAGGTCCTGCTCCCAGGAATGACAGCACTGAGGGACCGGGCACCATGCCAGTCACATTGCACAATCTGCCACCAGAGGAGGGTATTTCTACCCTATTGTACAGATGAAGACTCCGTGGCTTGGACAACTCAAGCTCAAGTTCACACAGCTGGTAAGTGGCAAAATGGGGTTCAAGCCAGTCTGGCTGGTCTACAGCTCATGTTTCCCAAAGTCTACTTGAGGGGGTCTGTCCTCTCCTCTAGGCTGACAGGAGCACCAGTGAGCCTGAGAAATGACATTCCAGGTCCGAGGTACATGGAGTGAAAGCCCGACAAAGTCTGAAACACCGGGCCGGTAGTTGGTGCTGTCAAAATCATGACTCCATTGCTTACGTGTTTTGTGCTTACAAAGCACCCTTACCTCATTTGATTCTCAAGTTCCTTAGAGGGGCATGCAGTAGAGGTCTGGCTATCCCCATTTAACAGGCTCAGAGAGGTCAAGTGATTTGCTCAAAGTCACACAGCAGAGGCCAGAACAAGATCTGGGCACTTTGTACCAACATCATCAGACAAGATGATCAAAAGAGATGGGCCTGGGGGCTGAAGTGGGCAGACCATGGCACTGACCTTTCCTGAGATGGTCTTGATCTGCTTGGAGCTCAGGGGCTCGAAGTCCACGCCGATGTAGCCCTCCATGGCAGCAAGCAGATTCTTCCGGAGACAACGGGATGAGTTGGCTTCTGTGCGCACCTGCTCCCACCACGAAGGCTCATACCAGCCCGGGATGATCCACTGGTATTTGCTACCATACATGTTCTCCTCATATGCCTGCAACAGATGGGTTGACCATGAAGGTACCAAGAGTTAAACATTTGTTCAAGGCCTTGTGCCCTGTGAGACCGGTGAAGGGAGCTCAGGCCTCCTCTTACCAGAGGGTTTATTAATTTTTCTATTCTTCGCTTTGTTATCTTTCCTCATCATCTCTCAATAGACCCAAGGTAGTTTATTGGAAACATATATAATAAAATAATAAACACTGAATAAAAATTGAAACATGAGGGCCTGACCAAAGCCAGGTAAGGACACTATAAGAAAAGAAAACTATAGACGGATATCTCTGATGAATATTGTGGCAAAAATTCTCAACAACATATTGGCAAACTGAATTCAAGAACACGTTAGAAAGATTATACACTATGACCAAGTGGCCTTTATCCCTGGGATGCAAGGATGGTTCAACATACACAAATGAATAAATGTAATACATCACATTAGTGGAATTAAAGATAAAAATCACGTGATCATTGCAACAGATGCTCTCTGTGTACTGTGATGAACTGTGCACATTTTAAAACATGACCCTTAAATGATCCTGCAGTACATTCCTGGAGAGCCATGAACACATTGGGAAACAGTTCATGCCATGCCCCGTTGGGCTCCTTGGCCTACAACAGAGACAGCACAGAGGCCAAGAGGACGTGGCAGGGGAGCCTGCAGGATTGCTTTGGACTCCAGGAAGCTTCTGGTTGCCCTCCACTTAGGCTCTGGGTTGTTAGCCAGGCTCTGTCCACAGCAGGGTGGGCCAGAGACCCTAATGGCCTCTGTACATTAGAGAAAAGTTACAGTCAAGTCTGAGAGTTGGGGGAGAGATCCCCCCCATTCCTACATCTGGGGAAGCGACTCTTCTAGAATTCTCTTAACACCTAAGAAAGCCCATCCTGCAGCATGGGCAGTGGAGCATCTCACTGGGATAAATGTGAGTTAAAATGTTTGTTCCTTAACTTAAGCTCAGATACCATCTCCATGGCCTCATCTCCTTGGTTCAGTGAAGCCTCTGGAGATTAAACTGAAATTATTTAATGAAAGAGCCCTTCAACTACTTCAAGGCAGTGATCACACTGTGTTTTCTCTAGACTCCTCTGATGATATGGGACCTTGACCTCCCCAATTCTAGATAATATACTTCTCATAATGCAGCCTCAGATCATAGTCATTTTTCCAGCAGCTACATTATAATGTTGCCCCATCACAACTGTTGTAGAAAACACAGCCCTCATATTTCAATTACAGGATAAAATCCCAGTTCAATAAAGGGAGGCAATCTCCTGATCTTCCCTCTAATAAATGGGATTTAGTCCAAAGAATCTTTCTTTTGAAGAAAAGATAATCTGAGATCTGTTGGGGGGCTAGATTTTTTAACAAAAGGCTCATCCCAGTGATCCCAGGTCACTGTATGAACGGCAGAACCTGTGAGACTTTACAACTCTCATCCTTCATAGGAAAGGAGGAACTCACATATCTTGAGCCCCTATTGTGCTTGGCCAATTATACACATTATCTTATTTTATTCTCACAACAACCCTATGAGGTATGCATTATTATTTCTAACTTATAGATGATGAAATTGAGGCTCCGAGATTGAGGGATTTGCCCAAACACATACAGCTAAGTCAAGGGGACAAGATTCAAAGTCCATTTTTGGAAGTTCCCCTCTTATCTTAGCAAAATAAATAAAACAAAACTTTTTGGAAGCTTTCAGGTTGAGGCAAGAAGAGTGCCGCCCTTATTAGGAATGTATGTTAGGTAGGAATCAACAGATACACAGTGAGGACAACAGGACTTCTAAGCAGACACAGAGGCAGACCTGCATCACTCTCTGAGGACAAAGACCTCGTGATAACTTAGAGACAGCACAGAGCAGGAAGTCAGAAGCCGCCCAGGGATCTGCTGTGACAGCTCTTTGACCTGCCCTTGTCTCATTAGGAGCTGTTCCTTATGAGTGAATTTTCCAGAAAATAGAAGCTCAGCCCATTTGAGTGACAATAGATTTTGTTTAGAATGTTATTCAGTTTTGATGAAGATAAACATTTTCCTACTGACCTTCTCAAACAAACAAAAAGGGAGATTACAGTCAAGCAGCACCAGATTCTCTGCCACATACCAGCTGGGTAACTCTGGTGCCCAACTCCTCGGGTCTCACTTTTCCCATCTCTAGCCTGTGGAAAGCAAAGCCTATCTCACTGGGTTGGTGTAAAGAATTAAATGAGATGACACGTGTACCATGCCTGGCCAACACTACATCCGGGCACATTTTAGCAGCTCCTTCTCGTTGCCTTCTCCTTTCTGTAATGCATGGTTTTATTCTGAACACCAGTCACTGTTACGGGCTGTGCACAGTCATGCTGCTGGGTCTAGGGTGGCACTTTTCACTGCCATTGAGCCCCTGTCTTCTCTGAACTTGCTGCTTTTAAACTGTTATGGCTTGGAAAGCAGGGCGGCTGGGTGGTTAAACATGTGCAGAGCAAAAGTAAATAGGCTTTGAGTGAGGGTCTAAGAGGCTTCCCTGCAAGGTAGGTGAACTGGTTTAAATACACCATCCACCATCTAAAGCACCTGAGGGGAAGGCTCTGGGCCTCCATTCTGCTATTCCCATATTCAGACGGACTGAGCATGTGAGCTGGGAGTAAAGGAATGCTTTCTGTCTCCTTTGCTGGAGGGGGAGTTTTTGTAGGGTGGCGTCCACTCTTCTGTGGATCTCCGGTGCTCGGCACAGTGCCTGGTGTGCCCAGGGCACCCAAGAAGTGGTTGCAGAACGACTGAACACATTTCCAGCTTCCTTGGTCACTTTAGTTTTCATTTTCCCTGTCTCTGGTAGGAATGTGATCTCAGGACCTGTGGCCACCGGTGGGCCCTGCCATGTGGCGACAGGCAGTCCTGAGCTCACCTTCTTCAGTCTCAGGGACTGCTTTGGTTCTTATTAGTTGCTGACAGGTAACCATGATATGAATTATTTTTAAAAATCCAGTTTCCTCTTTTTATGATGTTTCCTTTCGCCTCCTCCCCTTTCCATGCAAGAAGGACATTTCCCTTTTCCTATTACGGTCACACCAATGATAGTAATAAACCCTCACATCAAGAAGGCAGTTCACAGTTGGGATGATGGTCTCCTTTCGTGGCCTTATTTAAGCCTCTTGCCAACCCCGTGAGGCCGCTGGGGCAAGGACTGCTGCTTCCATTTTGGAGGTGAGGCAGCTGGAGACCAGAGGTGTAAGGTGACCTGCCTGAGGTCACACAGCTGGTGGAGCTAAAACCAGAACCCAGGCCAGAGTGCTTGAGAATTTAGAATAGACCCCCGAGGGCGGAGGACAAGACAAAAGCGACGGAGACATGCTCATTCTGTGCTGAAGCCCAAATGAACATTTTGCCACAGGGCTATAAATAGGTCTTGCATTTGCTGGAGTCTGCTCTTCCATTGGGTGGCGGTTCCAATCTCAAGAACACAGCAACATGCTGCAAAGTTTGCACTGCGGCATTTGGATGGCAAAGATACGGCTGTTTCCACCGGATCTGCACTCTGACCCTGACGAGGAGAGGAAGGCTCTTTCACAGGGGTCTCCGCTCTGAGCAGCCCCTCCCTCTGTCACACACCAGTCTTGATCCAGTAGGAAGACATGGAGCAGACTCTCCTCAGGATCTTCCAGACCTGCCAGAAGAATTCCTTCCTAACCACGTAAGAGGGCAGATGGCTTCCAAGGGTCTCGAATAAATACCCAACAAAAAAACCTGCAAGGAATTTCTCAACAACCAAAGCCACCCGCAGACTCTAAGAGGGAACCCATTGCAAAATGTCCACCGTCCAACAAGAGGAAAGTAGGATGACGAAGTGGATGGTGTCTCACGCCATGTGGAAGGCAGGCAGCCTGGGGCTTTGCGTCGAGAGGAAGACAGCCACACCGTCTGTTCTGAAGCAGAAACCATGGCTGGAAATGCCACTCGGAAAATCATCCCAGTGCATGGCACAGAGTGGAATCACAGCCACGCCCCCACTTGGGTTTGGCTCAGAGCGGAGCATGAGGTCTGTTTCCAGTTCTTGAAAAAGGGAGATGGCCAGCGATCCGTGTGGTGTCTTTGTGGATCATGTTTATTAATTTATTTCTCCTGGAGTTATGACCCACCATGCACCAGCTGCTTGCAAGGCCTTGGGGATATGGTGAAGGGTGGGGAGGGACAGGGATAAAATCCAGTTTCTTCCCCAAAAGAGATTCCATTCTCCAATATGGAGCATTATTTTCCTTTTTATTTTATTTTTTTAATTTTTTTTAAGATTTTATTTATTTATTTGACAGAGAGAGACACAGCGAGAGAGGGAACACAAGCAGGGGGAGTGGGAGAGGGAAAAGCAGGCTTCCCGCTGAGCAGGGAGCCCAATGTGGGGCTCGATCCCAGGACCCTGGGATCATGACCTGAGCCGAAGACACTTAACGACGAAGCCACCCAGGCGCCCCTATTTTCCTTTTTAAAAATGGACCACTTCGGGACCTCAGATGGTAATGTACAAGGTTTTATGATAAAGGTTTATGAGTAAAATTTTATGAGCAAGGTTTTGAAGTAAAATGTATTAAATCCATTTGCTCCATTTTTTCAATTTTTCTCATGTTCATCCTTAGATTTTCATAGGGAAAGACCCCTTGCTTCCCTTAACTGGAGCAGAGGATGCTTCATACCATCTTGTAAAGACCATCAGATAGGAAACTCACCAGCCCAGCAGTGAGTTCCATTCTCACACACCTGAGACTTTACATAAACAAACAAAAAAAGACTGCGGACATTTACCGAGGGCTCACTATCCATCAGGCACCGTGCAGTGTTTCTGTTCATTCAATCTCCACAACAATCCTAGGAGACTGGTACTATTATCATCCCCACTTTACAGATGAGAAAACAAAGGCTCCAGAAGTGTCAACAACAAGTCCAAATTCAGCAACTAAGCCGCAGACTGGCTCCTGAGCTCCCAACTCCATCCAGGATCCCCAGTAAATCGAGAGATGATCAGGAGGTTCTCATTTTGTTCTTGAGCCTTCGGGATGAAACAGCCCCGTGTGACTGTGGCTTCCGGTCACCATTCTGTCCTCACTCCTGGTGCACTTTGAGTTCCTGCATCTCTCTGGAAAGGGGTAGCAGGAGCTGAGAAGGATACTCCAGGCAGTGTCTCTCCAGCAGACAGCAGAGGGACCACCTTCCCTGGGTGTGGACATGCAGCTGGAGGTCCCCTTGGCTCCTCAGAGTTATGCTTACCTTGGTGACTCACAGCAACCCTGAAGTCAACCAAGACCCCAAAGTCTCTTCTCTTCTAAATGCACAGTCCTCCTCAGCTATGCTCTACCACCTTGGACACAGGCAGCTTGATTTGTTCTAATGTAACCTTCTATTAGGGCTATGAGATTTAACCTTAGACTGAAGCAAACATTCCAGCCTGTTAGGGTTCTTTGCAATCTTGGATCTGTTTCCAATATATTTCACAACTTCCAAAATTCCTACAAGTCTGTTTTTTATAATCTCATCCAAGTCATCAACAAAAGATCAAAGAGAATGGAGGCCTATGGCCCATCACTAGAGACTACACCTAGAATAAGCTCACTCTAAGTGGAAGCGCTTATTGGGGAGACAATGACTCCCGTGACTGGGCTCTCATTCTGTTGACTCTTCTCCTGACCTGGGGTGGGGGAGAGGGAGCCAGGGCAACCGAATGGAAAGACTTGGTTCCTGTGTTAGAACTCTCACAAGTACGTAGGTGGAACATCATGTGAAAAGAAGTTGATTGGACTGGGAATCAGGTGACGGGGATGGAGCCTTGGCTCAGCCACGAGCTGGGCCTCTATTTTCTTATCTCTAAAGTGGGATAATGATAATTGTGAGTTGTGTCACATGGTTTACTGAAAAGATGAAATGAGATAAGGTATAAAAAGGTACCTTGTTGCCTATCACGCACCAGACAATTGTAAAGAATTCAGGGGTAGATACTGAATGGTTGAGAGAACATTCTAAAGTTGAGACTCTGAGCCCTGCTCCAGGGCCGGGAGGGGGCTCTGAGGTAGCTCAGCCTTGCCGGGACGGCTGGCCCCTCCCACCCTGCCGTGCACATGGCCCACCTCCAAGGCTAAGAAGACAGGCAGGGCATTAGCTTAGACAGGGCGCTGGAGGGGAGGTTGGGCCAGCTGAGGTCCCTAGGTCCTCCCACGACTGCACTGTTCTGAACCCTCGGGGTTTAGCTCCCTGCAAAGAGGAAAGAGCAGTGACCATAACATTTCTGCTTCCAACAACCCGGACTCCAGTTCTATATCCCGCTCAGACCAGGCAGTGAGAATGAGTCTGAGAAACAGCTTCGTGAAACTCCCCATAGACGCAGTGACACGACCAAAGTTTTACTTACACAACAGAACACTTTTGCTGCCATATTCTGGTCAAACTGGCCGAGGATGATCCTCACGTCATTGCCCTGTGGACAGAAGGACATGTGTGTGAAGGAGAGTGGAGGACAGGCACACTCGAGAGCTTGAGGCCACGGGCAGAGAACATTCGTGCACCCCCAGGTCCCCAGCCAAGAGCCCTGCCCTCTCACCCCAGCCCAGCCTGGATGCTCTGGCCCTCTCTGAGGCCAGCTTTCCCTCAGCTCCTGCTGCCCTCCCCGGTCTCCACGGCACACCCTGGGACAAATCTGCACGGGCTGGAGGCTTTGTAAAGCTGGCGGCTCTCAGCGGTCCCAGCAGCATCCCTGATTCCTTCAACAAGGGCAGGCCAACCCTACAGGGCACCGAGACAGCATCTAATCTTCTTCCTCACTTGACACACAGGGAAACTGAGGCCAGGGAAGGGAAAGGAGCTTCTAAGGTCCCCAGGGGAATTGGTGGCTGAAATAAGACTGCAGCGCCCCCCCCACCCCCCAGTATTCTAGACTTTTCTATACCTTCCTGGAACCCACAAGCCTTCCCAATTAAGGAGTTTCAGAGTCTCTTTGAGTTTTGAGCTTTGTTCAAATCTCAGCTCCACCCACAAGCCTCAGGGCGCCTCAGGTGGCTCCTATATGCATCTTAGCCTCAATTTCCTCACCTGTGGAATGTGGAAAACGGCAGTACCTACCTTCCGGGAGGACTCCCTGACGTGACCCACATAAACTGCTTCACACAGTTCCGGGCACATAGCGAAGGCCCAATAAGTGCTAGCTAGTATTAGGATTTTATAACCTCCTCCCAACCCGTTTTTAACTCCCCAAAAAACTTATATTTGAAAACTCTATAAATAGGACTGCACTTATTATCTCGATGTGTGCCTTGCACAACAGCTCCTGTGACTCATTTATTCATTCAACAAACATTTACTGGGCGTTTTCCTGAGGCTCCCTCCTGGGTCAGTTGAGGGGCCCTTGCTGCTCTCTGGGGGACAGGGATCCAGGCGGGGCCCGGCCCCATCGAGAACAGGCTACAGGAGGATGTGCCAGGCAGCCTGCAGGAGACCAGCCGGGGCCCTGGCCCCCCGGCCTGCTCCCCACCCCAGTCACTTCCTGCCCTCCGCCCTGAGGCTCAGGCTTGCAGGTGGTGCCACCTTCCTGCCTCTCCAGCAGGCCTCAAGGCCCTTTGATGCATAAAGAAGAGAAACATGCCTTTAAAGATCAGTTTTTAGCATCTTTCAAAATTGGAAAGTGCTGACTGGGAGGCCATTTTACTCATCATGTACTTTAGCAAAATAAAAAAGGCTTGGATTCTAAAATCATCCTTCGTTTGCAAGCAAGAATGGAAAGAAGAGAAAAAAAAAAAAAACCCTGCTCTGAAAGGACTTTAAAAGATCGTTAACAGAGCAGTTGAAGGAAGGCAAGCCTTTGTCATCACCATGTCTGCAACGCTATAAAAAGTTCTAAGCTGCTTCCGTTCTGTGGACAATGCTCTCAGGCACACTCCAGGGTTTTTTTTGCTTGTTTGTTGAAATCTTTTAGCCTTCTTTGCTGCTAATAGTATTCATCCAGCCAGCCAGCAAACACTTACTGAGCATCTACTTTGTGCCAAGCTCTGTGTTGCTAAACATGGTATAGTAGAAATAGCTTATCGGGTTTTAGAGTTAGGGAGACCTCAGTTCAAATCCCAGCTCTACCACTGACCAGCTGCGTGAACTTGAATCTTAATCCCCTGGAGCCTCAATTTTCTCACCATTGAAAGAGGGATAATCCAACCTACCTTGCCGGAGGGCTGTAGGATTCATACTAAGGAAACCCAGCCATTGGCTTCCATGATGCTTCCTCCTGGCTCCTTCCTACCTCCTAGTCCCTCTTGCTCAGACTGAGTCAGCTCACCATCTTTCTGCAAATCCGTACATGCTGGTGTTCTACACAGTTCTGCCCTTAGCTCTGTGTCCTCATCACTCTCCTGGGCAGCCTCATTCAAGACCCCAGCCACAACTGCCCGCCGTGTGTTACGGAGGCCCAATCACTCTCCCCACGCCCAGCTTGTCTCTAGCTGCCCCTGGATCCCTCCACTTGGATTCTCCCACGTACCTCAAGCTCAGCACATCCCAAGCTGAACTCATCATCTTTGCCAACGAGCCCTTTCCCCCTCCTGCGTGGTCCATCTCTGAGAACAGTGTCGCCAACCTCCCACCCACCCAGGTTCACTTGCCTCCCTCTGAGCCCTAACCAGGACCCACCCGCTGGTTCTGCCTGCCCACCAGTGCCAAATCACCCCCACCCCTGCAGCTTCACCTCGCTGGGTGTGGCCACCATCATTCCTCCTCGGTAAAATACAACTGCCTCCCAGCTGGATCCCCACCCTTAGTCCTGCTCCATCCACCCTGCTCTCCACAGAGCGGATTAAGGAATCATTCCGAGATTCAAATGTGGTTGTGTAAAATCTTTCCATGGCTCCCTGAGCTTTCCAGGTCAACTGAGCTCCTGAGTAGGACATTCGAGATGCTTTACCAGCCGACTCCTGCTCAGTCTTTGCCAGTCTTGCAGGGCATGAGAATGAGCTACCTGCAGTTCTCTAAAAGAGGGCTGCCACTTACGTACTCCTTCACTAGCTCATTCCCCCACCTGCTCCCCTCTTGCTTTCTGCAAGCTCGTCCATCTTGAACGCCCTTCCCTCTCACCTCTGCCTGGAGAGCTGCCACTCACCCTTCATGCTTTAGCTCAGGCACCCCTACCCTGAGAAACCATCTGTGTCCTCTGAGGTGCTCATTTGCTCCTCTGTGGGCCCAGAGCACTCTGTGCTTCCCTCTATCATGGCACAAGTCCACTTGCTTATCTGTCTTCTCCGCTGGACTGAGGGTAACTTGACTCATCTCTGGGTCCCCGGGTCAGGGGGTCAAGGCATGACACATATATAACCACAGGTGTTGAATGCACAATTAAGTGAGCGAATGCTCTATCAAGTACCAAGCGCAGTGCCTGGCCTGCATTCCTTATTCAGTAACTGGTAGCTATGATCACCACTGCCCTGATATCCTGCTAGCCTAGGGCCTCGGCACTCACTGGGTTCACCATGTCCGGTTCTTGAATGCACTGAGGAGCCCACATCTTCATGGCTGACCACCTGACCACCTGCAGATAGATAAATAACCGGCTCTACCACTTGTGGACCATTTGGTGTCTCTGTTGCCATGACAACCAAGTCGCAAGGACCATTTGGTGCTATGCTCCCAGACTGTTAAAATTGGGCAGAACCCAAGGGATCACTGATCTAGTGAACCCCTTCCTAGAGAGACAAAAGGCTTCCCCCAACACTGCCCAGTGGAACCAGTGCTCTCACCTTGGTGGCCCTCTGACCATCAGAGGACCCTGGAGAAAGGTCCTGGCCAGAGCCAGGTTCTGCCCATGGTAGGGAGTGACTCACACCCACTCTGATTCCAGCCGGTGAGAGGCAACAAGATGCTGCAGTGTCTGGGAGGGAAGACCCAGCATCCAGTGCAGCTCCCAGAGAGGGAAGGGCGTTCAAGATGGACGAGATGGAATCCCGTGTGGGGAGTGGACAAAGGGAGATGGAACTGGCCTGGGATGCTTAGCAGGAGCCTTGAGAGTGGTAGAAAGAACTGGAAGGGCTTCTCAAAATGGGATATGTTTCCTCCTGGAGCATGAGTTTTCCTGAGAGTATGAGAAGCATGGATATACCTCGTTCTTCTTTCCAGAGTAGCAATTTATTGGAAGATTCAGGGGTGAGGGAAAAGGTTTTGGATTCCGGGAGTCTTTTTTTTTCCTTTTTAAATAAAGATTATTTATTTATTTATGAGAGAGAAAGAGAGCGAGAGAGAGTGCAGGAAGGAGGGGCAGAGGGAGAGGGAATCTTTTTTTAAAGATTTATTTATTTATTTGTGCGTGCGAGAGAGAAATAGAGAGAGCGTGAGCAGGGGGAGAGAGAATCTCAAGCAGACCTCACACTGAGCATGGAGCCGGATGTAGGGCTCGATCTCATGCCCCTGAGATCATGACCTGAGCTGATACCAAGAGTCAGATGCTCAACCGACTGCCACCCAAGCGTCCTTGGATTTCCAGAGCCTTAAAAGTTTTTAACACATGTGTCCTCTCACAAAAGTTCCAGAACCATGCTGTTCAATGTTACATAACTTGTATCTTTCCCTGAAAATCTGTAAAGTGGAAAGAGAAATTTTGTCTCGGCAGTGGTTCCTGCTTCTGGCCACACCTCCACGTCCCTGCCAGGGGCCTGAACACTTGCTCCTTTGCCATGGAAAGGACTCTGGGGCAGTGTGGGGAGAACAGGGGGTAGAGGAGGAGAGCCCTGAATGTCCCTGAGGCTGAGAGTGACAGAACAGAGTTGGGACAGTACAGTGAACCCAGAATGTGGCAGAGGGCAGGGTCCAAAATTCCTGTGCCCTTCCACAGACTCTTGATTCTGCAGGGGGCCACCTGGAGCAAAAGGTGACCTGAGGTGGGACAAAGGACACCTTGTACTCACATGGCTAGATCCATGTGTAGACCACACAGAGGCCTGTGTTCACAAGAGGCCTCGCTCACAGGGAAGGGGCAGACACGGGAGGAAACAACGATGGGGTGGGAGGTCCAAGCCTGGATGGATTTCCTTCCCTCCTTCCTGGTCCTTCTCATCTCTTGCCTAGAGCCTCTTTGTCTCTGGGACACTTAAAGTGAGCTAAGATCACACACACACAAAAGTGACACTTCAGAAACATGACCCAATTCAAAGACTTTGTGTAAAACCCCTAGGTTGCAGGGGATCTTAGCAAATAAAAAGCAAGGACAGTTCCTGAGCTCTTTCTAGCTGTGGGACTAAGGAGTGCATCAGCCCCGCCCAAGGAGAGAGGTGTTATTACCACGTCCACTCCGGAAAGTTTCACGAGTGAGCTGAGCCCCAAAGAATGAAGGAAGTTTCTCAAGTGCAGCACATCGCCAGCCCCGCTGGTTCCTGCACTCGGGACCGGGGCGTCCATCCCCGCGCAGGGAGGGTGGGCTGCTTCTAGCTCGCCCCCCTCTCTAGAGAACTG